AGAACATTTAACCTCTTCAGATAATACTGATATTCCCAAAAAGCATGGTTTTTGAACTAGTAAGATGGTAGTAGAGCATGACCCACCACGGCATGGTTTTGTCCAACAAATGGTAGCTGGAACAAATAAAGAGCTGCTAATTCCACCGCGCTGTCGGTGGCTGACTTTTACTGCAGTATTGTTCATAGCTATTGACATTAGCTGTAGGTGTGGACTCTTACATGAAAGTATATCAGGAGAATCAATCTGCCATTGAATATGTGCTGAAAAATACATTCGAGTCTGCCTGGAGACAGAGCTACATTTGTTTATGTGTATAGGTCTGTATATGTGAGGGTATATCCATTCCCAGAGTCTCAGTTAACTTCTTTAAATATTTGTGGTGTGCCCTGAACAACCCACTCATTTCCTTCACACGTGACAAGGACACTAGTCATGACACTAGTCCTGCTCTTTTATGCACTAATAATACAAGGGATAGTGCAGTTCATGGGAAAAATGGGTGTGAGGGAGTCGTGGATGTCTTTTGTAAGTGACTCTGCCAGATTGTAGTCAAAATTACCTTTGAACAATGCTGGGCAGGGAGGGAGCTGCCTTTCTTAGTAGAGGAATTATAAAAATCTTGAATGTCTTTTGATAGATTGTTCAATAAGTTTTCAATAAATGTTAGCTTCTGTGTAGGTTGTGATAGTATTTTATTGTCAGCAATAAAGTTAGTAGTAATAAAAATTGTGATATTGTATAGCAACCCCATTTACAGTCTAAATTGCATCAGATATTTCTTGATTTCTAGATAATGTATTTCAATTGCAATCTAATGCAGTTGCAAGAATTTGATTATGACTACTTAATCTCTCTTTTTAAAAAAATTCATTAATCATCACTGATTTTTAGATTCAAAATATCTATAGTGACCTCTCTGGTTTTCTGTGATGTCAAGAGTTACTCTTTAAATGTGCTGGGATTTCCATGGATTCTTAATTTTGGAAGGCAAATTGTGGTGACTGAGTTGGTGGCCATTGGCCTTGAGACTTTTGATAGTCCTGTTGTCCCATCAGTGTCAGTCTGCCTGAAATGCCCTCTATTACATTTGCTTTTCTTTGGGTTAAAGCAGTCCTCATTTTTTTTTTTTCTGAAGCATCCCTAACATCAGTGGAGAGAAACTACAAATTGCCATGAGATTACTAGAATATCGAAACGTTGGCAGCAGCTTGACATTTCTTTCAAGTCAAGTGTCAATGATCACATCGTACATTAATTTTACATTCCAGGCCATAACAATCCCAGAGATATTTTAACATCCAAGAAGTGTTTCAATTTATATAATACCAACTAAAATTCTCTTCTCTTCTTCTCTTCCAAGACCTCTATTTGAGGAGAATTTTTGAGCGTATTCTTTAGAAATGCCTGTTAGAATTCTCCTTAAATACACACTACACACTAATCCCTTTAAATTGATTAGCTAATCTGAATACCTGATATGTCTTGTAGGAAATGATATATAGGACAAAGATGTTTGACAGAGGAGATACCATATAAGCTGGCTTGTTAGGAGTTTGAGAAGGAATATAGCAGAGAAGAGAGAGGGGTGCTTGTTGGCCAGGGGAAGTTGCTGCACATAAAATGGGAGAAAGCACTAGAAAGGAATACCAGCATGGGGGTCATTAACAATAAACTTCACTCTTTTGCCTACTGTGAGTCTTTCCTGGTTCTTATATCCTAATAGGGAGGACTCAAGGAGTAGGTTCCTTGAGCCACAGAACAGAAAGATGACCTTTATTCTTGCTTCTTTAAAAAACAGAAAACAAAATTTTTACATAAATGCTTCGATATAAAATGTAAAAACTCAAAAGTAAAATTAGTCTTTCATTTGTTTTCTTCTATTACCTAACAATTGAGTTTCTCTTTCAATTTCTTTTCTGCCTGTACCATTCAGCCAGGACGTGTTGTCTCCTGGCTATCAGGAGATGATGTAGTTGTGTTTTCGTGCTCTGGCACGAACTGTTTTCTCCAATTGGCCATTGTTTTCTGGAGAGACTGACTTCTGTGTACCAGAACGGTCACAGTCTGGCATTTAGGCCTGGATGCCACCTCTCAGAACTGATGAGATGACATTTTGGCTGATTAATTAGATATGTTTCATAACCCGCTGCAGGGAAAGGGATATGAGAGCATTACATATTAGTGGCATCAAGCTTGATATTTTTGCATGTTTCGCTCCTGCAGTTAGGGAAGATGCCAACTTTGCTTCTGTTGCAATTTTAAAATGCTTAAGGAAATTTTCAAAACTAAAAGGAAAGCAATCTGTTAAAAGTAACACTGAAAACGAGTGTAGATATGATCTTTTTATTAATGCAGTTTGGTTTTTAAAGGAATCTTTCAATTTGTACAGTAGCAATATACATATCTCTGTCAAACAGACTCTTGCAGCTGCATTTAAAACAGATTAGTACAATTTATATGTTAACCTGTGTACAGTACCAAGATACTCATTGTAATAGACTGTGATACCTGCTTTTTGCATCATCTTATAGCAGAGTTTATTTGTGATTATTTAAATTACACACAACTCTTCAACATATTTTCTTTAATCTTTAAAACTGTGAGGAAGGCAGAAGGTTATTTTCATGTTTACAGAAGAGCAAATGGCCCAGGGAGAAATTGCTGGAGCAAAGAGCAAAACTAAGATAGTCTGACTTGGGTCCCTGCCAGCGTGTCCTTGGTGTACCTGGTCTTCCTAACTCTAGATACCACCTCTGAGTTCTCTCAAACTGTGCCACGTGAGCAATGATTATCTTTATATCTGTGTTGTTTTCATGGGTAACAATGAATGGGAGGCTTTAATGTGCTTTGTAGAGAGCGCACGGTTTTCCTGGAAGAGATGCCATATCATGTGGTATTTAAGACTACAGACTCTGGAGCCAACTGTTGGACTTTTCTTAAACCCCAGCTCTACCACTCTGCAGCTGCATGACTCTGGGAAAGGTGACCGCCCTGGACCTTAGCTCTTTTTTTTTTTTAAAATTTTAATCAGTAAATCGAGAATAGGAAAAGTGCCTATATCTTCATTGGGTTGCTGTAACAGTTGAATGAATGAATATACATAAAGCACAAAAAAAAAAAAAAGACTCCCTGGGCAGAGTAAGCACTTTATGTGTACTATCATTATTAAAGCATTGCATTTTTACAGAGTGAATGTGACTTTGTTTTTCAGTGTCCAGAGGGGACTCATTATGTCTGCACTGTTCAGAACTGACTCCCCAAATTCTGCTGGCATAGTGAATATTTTTCCCTTGAAAGATCCATCTCTATCTGACAGAGTGTTCATTTCTTAGTCTTTAGTCTTAGTCTAAATTATAAACATGGTGTAGGAAGTAGAGCAGTGAATCGAAGTAGAGCATTGGGACTTTAGTCCCAGCTGAGTCATTTACCAGCTGTGACCTTGGGTCAGTCGCTAAACCTCATCAGGCTCTGCCTCTTTTCTCCTCGAGAGAAGGCTAGATGATAAAACTTCCAAATCTACTTATAAAATCCCTTTTCTGTGATTGAGGTGATGGGGGTAAGTATACTTTAACGAAATGTTAGGCAAACCCATCCTGATGCATCCTGCTTAGTTAAAGCCTATTATCAGAGGATTTAGCTGTTATTACGTAGGTAGGATTGGCAAGTACCTGAGTAGGTTTTGAGGAATGAAATATTCTAAGGCATTTTTTTAACACAAATTTCCTCAGAGGCAAAGCCATTTATCAAATTAAATAGTGTATCATGGAGCACGTTGGATAAAATAGGTGACTTATTCTTTTGCTGAGTCTCTGCTTTGTGGAGGAACTCTCCAGCAATCAGTGTAAACCCCACATCCTGCACATTGTCCTCTGCAGTTTGGGGTTCCTTTACACTGCAGTGAGAATGGAGAGGGGAGAGAAGAAGGACTGTCTCCTCTTCTGTCTGTGCTGGGGAGGAACAGGTTCTGGTTGCCCCACACTCGGTCCTTTGGGCCCCAGGGCCGGTATCAGCTTATATACTTCACCATTTTTTTAAAAAGTATTTTATTTACTTATTGGAGAGAGAGAGAGAATGAGAATGGAGGAGGGGCAGAGGGAGAAAAAGAGAGAGAAATAGACTTCCTGCTGAGTAGGGAGCCTGACCCGGGGCTCCATCCCAGGACCCTGGGATCATGACCTGAGCCAAAGGCAGATGCTTAACCAACTGAACCACCCAGGCACTACATACTTGATCATTATTAATGAAGAACTAAAATAAGGAATAAAAATAAGGAGAAAAAAATCTTCCTCAAGCACTGATGTTACGGACAGCTGATGATTTCCTGTGATCCTCATATGCTTTTTGTTTTGATTGAGCCTCTAGAGCCTCTTTTTCTCCATCAGCCAGATGGGAACATTGTCTTTAGGGTGATGGAAAAGACAGAAGGAATGTGGGTAATAATAATTTATTAAAAGGCAGATTGCAAGGGTAGCCCAGTATATAAAACCCCAGCTTACCAAGCATAACAGTGTGTGATTTACTTTACATAAGATGTTTTACTTTTTAAGTTCCTGTACACCGAGTGACTGATTTAATTTTCAGTTCTTTGAAGGAAAGCTTCTTTCCTCGTTTTCTACCAAGCCAGGGAATGCTGGGCCTGGGTGGGACAGGAGTCGCAGCAGTGTGCAAAGTCTCAGACCAAGGTGAGGGAAGAGTGCACTGTCCTGGGGAATGTAGAGGAGGCCCCCCTGAGGTTGTTTCTTACTATAGGAATCTCAAGAGGCTACTGGCAGCCACAGAGCTGATGGGGAAGTGTCAGGTTGAGGTCCTTGGCTTAAAGAGCAAAGACCCTGGACAGTGCTACTAAAGAACTTGGGGATAATCCTTGAAAAAGTGAGCTCTGAGGGTCTGGGTCCATTTTCTTACTGAGCAGCAGCACTTAACATATAGAGTGATGTCACTCAGGATATACCTGGTCCATAACTTTCTTCTTTGGTGTATATTTCTACTGTTTGTAGGGCCAAGGAGATCTGTTGAAGAACGCCAAGAATGAAGCTGTAGAAAACATGAAGCAGATCCAGCTGGCATGCTTGTCTTGTGGACTTAGTAAAGCACCCAGCAGTGGTGCAGAAGCCAAGAGCAAACGCAGCCTGGAAGCCATAGAGGAGAAGGAGAGTGGCGAGGAGAACGGGAAGCTGTGACCCTGAGCAGTACTGACACGCTCACCCATCCTTCCCTTTGAGGACTCTGGTTTTTCTTTCTGGTTTTCTTTCTTTAAGCTTTTTAGAAGTTCACAAAAAGATGCCCTCTATAAGGTGTTGGACATAGAGAGATATTTTCACAATGTCAGTATTTTAATGTAGTTAATTTATCTAAGTTAAAACCTTTAGTAGCAGTGTTTAAAATTCTGAGATGTATGTACATACCCATGTATGGTTGTGGGTGTGAGTGTGTGTGTATGTGTGTGTGTGAGAAGACAAAGAAAGAAGAAGGAAAGAAACAAAGAAAGAAAAAAGAAAGAAACAAGAGTGACAGTGAGAGAGAGAAAAAGATTGAGAAAGATTGTGATCCTATGAAAATCTATTCTATGTTGCATTATTCATTTAGTAAGTTATTACTTTATCATTTTGGGGCAAATTTGTTAATCTGAAATTCTAAAGAGCACTTACTATAACCAGTTGCTGTGTTTAATTTTACTTCTCTACCTTTGTCATTTAATTTAGAGATCTTAACATAGGTTATTATCAAAGGAAGGCAAATTTACCAATGCATAGATGTTTTGATAGATTAGATGTAGATTAGAAAAATTCCTAAGAATCACAGTAGAAATAAAAGTGACTAAAAGGTAAACAAGTGATCAGAATTTCTGAGATCAGCAAAATCATTTCTTCAGTTGAAAACTCTTTAAACTATTTATTAAATAAAATAACTTTTTAGAAATTTGTTTTCTAGTTGTTTAATAAACACATATGATTTCAATGGAAAAGCTGATCATAAATGAATTTATACCCACCTATGTGGAACTTTGAAACACAGTGAGAGATCTGTTGTAATTAGGATTTTTATGTGACATTGCTTTCAGTCATTCTTCCAAACTGGGAGTCTAGCATTCATTTTTTAAATGCACATGAGCAGTTAGGAGGCTTGTCTTTGATTAAATATAATTTATTGTACTAAATTTGAATTTAAAGACATCATTCAAACAATGCCACATTATCACGCTGAGCTGATACAAATTCTGTGGATCAGATAACATGTTTGTGATGACTTAAGAACTAACTGATTACAAATAAGATATGGTTTTAATACATGAACAAAAACATACACACAAAAGAAGCAAACTTAATTAGGGTACATTTATAATTTTTTAATATAATTTTTATAATATTTATTTAAAACATTGCTTTTATTTTGAAAAGCTTCTTAATTAATTTGATTAACAAATATGCTAGTTTTGGGGGAACCTAGGGAAGTAATTGTTGACATTTTGCAAATATAAGCATCTTCTATAGCTACCATGTTATTTCTGACTTCTTAACACTATTATGTTCATGTTGCACATTACTGAAAGTAAAGATATGAAACAACACTTTTATTGTTTTCTTTTATTGTCACTTCATTGAAAAGACAAAAAATAATGAAAATAATGAAATATAATGATATTATATTAAAAATGTCTCAAAGGGTATGGTATTTCCATGAACCAAATATGATGAAGTATCTCCTTGGGTTTCAAACGGGGAATTTGGGGAGACACATGAGCTCATTGTAAGACAGGTTTCCAATGGTGCTATGATCACCTAAAAAAACTTCTTTACCCTCCATTAGACTTAACCTACACAGTAAAAGGAATAGTGGAATGCAGGTATCTAACCTCCTTATGATAAAAAGGAGATGATAGAGACCCACTTTACGTGAGCCAATTGGTTGGTTTTACCTGTGGACCTCTTCACCTCCCTGAATTCTATTTAGAGAGGTCTGTGCCATTACTGGTGGTACGGAGAGGTGGGAAGAGAAGGTAAAGGGTGAAAGCTCTAAAAGAATATTATTAATTTATTTACTTGAGAGTCAAAGCCAATTCTTAAAAGTGTCTTCCCTAGTTCATTCCGTTTGTTCTGGAGCTCCACTCACATTTAGGAACTTGCCCAAATGTTCTTGAACTGGTTTTGTTTTTAGCTTAAATAAATTGAATTTGGGAAATAAAAAAAAAAGTATGCTTGAGAGTGATATGGGTTCCACATCATCTAACGCTACTTCTGACAAGGTTGTCTGCTATTCTCTACTCCACTGCATTGAGTTTGATTGTTAGCCAGCGAGTGAGGGGTGGGGCAGGATGCAGCTTTAGATTTTGACAATGGTCTTGCCTCTGGATAGAATAATAAAAACATATAAAACTTTTTACATTATTACATCCTACCAGTGTCTGTCTTCTTTCCAGCCTTGTAGTGCAGTAGAAAAATCCTCCGTCTGTCCATTTAACTTTTGACAATGCTAGGAAGATAATGGTAGATATTAATTCCATTTTTGTTTATTAATGTTTATATTACCAAGGAGATTTGAAGCATGGATGGTATATACTATCACTGACAGAGCCATCAATATAGTAAATGGAAAAATTGACTTTGGATTCTCATTTGTCTGATTCTATGTGCGAAGAGTATTTGTTCAGTGGTTTTGATTTTTTTTTAATTTTTTTTTAATTTTTATTTATTTATGATAGTCACAGAGAGAGAGAGAGAGGCAGAGACACAGGCAGAGGGAGAAGCAGGCTCCATGCACCGGGAGCCCGACGTGGGATTCGATCCCGGGTCTCCAGGATCGCGCCCTGGGCCAAAGGCAGGCGCCAAACCGCTGCGCCACCCAGGGATCCCAGTGGTTTTGATTTTTAATTTAATTCTCAAAATTTTAAACTAACCACAAATGAAAAGAACTTTATTGTATTATTTGATAATAAAATACTAATGATCAATATAAACATGTAAAAACAGAGATATGTAAAAAAAAATCACCTACTATTAACATTTAGATTTATACCTCTTCAGACACTTCAGAGTTTATGCACATATCTAAATATGCTTTGATTTTTTTAAAGATTTTATTTATTTATTCATGAGAGACACACACAGAGAGAGAAGCAGAGACACAGGCAGAGGGAGAAGCAGGCTCCATGCAGGGAACCTGATGTAGGACTCCTTCCGGGAACCCGGGATCACGCCCTGAACTGAAGGCAGATGCTCAACTACCGAGCCACCCAGGCGTTCCAATATGCTTTGATTTTTAAGAAAATTGAGGTCACATTATATAAAGTGTTTCTGTAATAATCTTTTTACACAATAAAGACAATACATCATGAATCTCTGTCAGTAAGTAAATATGTACATTGGCGTTCTTAGCCTTTGAATTGAATCTAGTCTAGTAATAATGTATTTTATTTGGCCACTAAATCTTTTAAAAAAATTTAAATAGTAGACAGCTTGTAAAAATCAGGAAATTTGACATAAAGATCTAATTTTCTCCTTCTTCTAAAGGAGTGAGTATTCTGATGATACTAGACACACTTCCACACCACCCCACTTCTTACTTGTCATTAATTAATTGGAGCTGCCTTCTCCAAGAGGGTCATGTGTTGGCCAGGTTGCCAAAGAGCTTCTTCAGTCATTTGTGTTACACTCTGCCTCTGTAAATGTCTTAGGTGGTGATTCTTGGTGATTCTTGATCCAGATTTTTGTTAGTGTCTTATTATGTGGATTATCATAACATATTTAACCAATCCTCTATTTTCTCTCCTAATTTCTTGTCATATAGGCATTGCAGTGATGAAAATCCAGTTTTCCAAAGTGGCTCAATTTTTTCTTTAGGATAAATTTCTATAAGTAGAATGGTTAGGTCAAAGGATACATAGACTTTTTAGAGATTTTGAGGTACATTGCCAATAGTCTCCAAAAAAAGTATGCAATTTAAATTTCCACCAGGAGTTTATGAGAATACTCAAATCTTGGCTGATACTAAATTTAATTATTGTTATTTAGATCTTTGCCAATCTGCAAGATTAAAAACTTTTTCCTTGTATCTACTGTCTAGGGAGAGTGAACACATTAGTATGTTCATTGACTACGGATAATGTCATATAGATAGTTATGAGTTTTCTGATCATTTTTGAGTGGGGTGGCAACTTTTAATCCTTTTATTATTATTTTCAAGAGGCATTTACTTAGTAAGAATCTTAACTCTGTGTTTTTCATATTTGTTACTAATGTCTTTTGATATATAGATCCCTAATTTACTCCGTTATGATTTTTTTCTTTATGATTAGTGTTAAGACATCTTTGTCTTCCTATGCTCATGAAAATATTCTCCTATATTACCTGTTAGTAGCTTTCTTGGTTTACATTTTACATTTAAATCTACAATCCTCCTAGACTTGATTTTTGTGTATAGTGTAAGGTAAAGGTCATTTGTTCTCAGCATGGATAATCAGTTGGCCCAGCTTATTTACTATAGACTGTCCTCTGTCCACAACTCTGTAATGCTACCCTTCTAAAAAATGAAGCACTCTTGTATGTTTGCATCCTATTTCTGGAATCTTTGTTTGGTTCCATTGGTCTGTGTCTGTCCTGGCAACATTACTGCACTGTTTAATTATGATAGCTTTGTAATGTTTTGGTGTCAGAGAGAGTAGGCCTCCTTACTTTTCTTCTTCTTCAGCATTTCCTCCATTATATTTGGTTCTTTGCATTTCCATATATCAATTCCTGTTGGGTATCTTCTGGAATTTTTATTGGTATTACATTGAATGGATATATTATTCTGGGTAGTTTGAACATATTCACATTATTGAATATTCCAATCCATCTGTGAGGTATATTACTCCATTTACTCAGGACTTATTTAATTTGTCTTAATATAGTCTTAAAGGTTTCTTTATAAAGGTCTTGCACATCCTTCAGTAGATTTATTCCTAGATATGTGATATTTTCCACACTATTAGAAATAGTATCAGTTTAAAATCTAAATTTCCAAATTGTGGTATGTAGAAACTATATTAGATTGGTTTATAATGATCATGTATCAATATCAAGTGAACTTGCTAAACTACTTAGTGATTTTAATTATCTATTTATTATTTTGGATTTTATAGGTACATAATCATGTCATCTGCAAATAATGACAATTTTGCCTTTTTCTCCTTGACAGTTTTGCCTGTTTCTCCTGATCCTTACACATTTTACTTATGTGTTTTATCTGTTTTTCTTGATTTGTAGAACTGGTTAAAATCTCCAGTATAATATTCAATAGAAGTGATGTTAGTAAACATCCTTTCTCATTCCCAATCTCAGAGGAGTTTTGCAGTATTTCATCATTATTTATTATGTTTACTCTAGATTTTGGTAGATTCCATTGAGGAATTTAAAAATTTTTAAATATAATTTTTGCCATTTATATGTAGATAAAACTATAAAACCTTTGGAAGAAAATATAGGAGAAAATTTTGTGATCCTGGGTTAAGACTATGAATTTTAGATATGACACCAAAAACATGAGTAACAAAGGAAGAAATAAGATTGAGCTTCATCAAAATTAAAAACTTTTGTACTTCAAATGACACCATCAAGAAAGTGAAAAGACAATTAATAGAAAACATAAAAGAAAGTTTACAACTTGTATGTCTAATAAAGGACTGCCATCCAGGATACATAAAGAATCACTACATCATAAAAAAAAAACAACCCAGTTTTAAAAATAGACAAAAGATCTGAATAGACATTTCTTCAGAAAAGATATACAGATGGGCAATAAGCACATGGAAAGATGCTCAACATCATTGATCATCACAATGAGATACCACTTCTCATCCACCAGGATAGCTATAATAAAAAGACGACAGATAGTAACAAGTGCTAGTGAGGATGTACAGAAAATAGAACCATCATACCCTACTAGTAGAAATGTTAAATGGTTCAGCTGCTTTGGAAAAGAGCCTGGCACTTCATCAAAAGATTAAACATAGAGTTACTATGTGACCAGCAGTTCTACTTCTAGGCATATACCCAAGAAAAATGAAAATATATGTCCACAATTGGTCACAGCGGCATTATTCAGAATAGCCAAAAAGTGGAAACAATTCAAGTGTCCATCAACTGATGAAAGGATAAAAAAGATAGTGTATCCACAAAATGGGTTATTCAACAATAAAAAGGAATGTAGTACTGATATGTTACAACATGAATGCATCTTGAAAACATTATGCTAAGTTAAGGAAGCCAGGCACAGAGGCTACATATTGTATAATTTCATTTGTATGAAATGTCCATAATAGGAAAATTTATGAAGATGAAAAATACTAGTTGTTGTCAGAGGCTGGGAGGAGGTAGGATGGGGAATGACTGCTGATGGGTATGTGGTTTCTTTTTGGGGTGATGAAATGTTCTGGAGGTAGATACTGATAATGGTTGCACAGCTTTGTGAATGTACTAAAAACTACTGTGTAGTTAAAAACGGTGAACTTTATGCTGTGTAAAGTATCAGTGAAAGAGTTACTTAAAAAAAGAAACATAGAAAAGAGAGTTTACATAATGAGCTGAGCACCAG